TCATTTTAGTAGTAGCTTCTTGGTAACTACCTAGTCTAAGAGGCTGTACAGCCACCTATCCTACTAATGTAATGCTGAGGACCCTAGTCAGTTAGGCATGAGTGGCAGGTCAATATTGCCCAGTAGTTACACATTTTCCTTGATCTGTACCCCTCTTCTGGCTTAAGTTAGACCAAGGACCTGAATTATTTTTTAAAATTTCTTTCCCCCCCCCACCCCCCACCCCAAGAGAATGTCTCAGCCTGGGCTTTTAAAGCCAGTTCAGCCAGTGTTAAGAGGAGTGTAGGACACTGACTGCAAGCTCAGAGGTGAAGGCTTTCACCAGAGGTGCAGGAGGTGGGTTGCCAAAACAGTATGTTATTCTGAGGAAATAGAGCAGCTCTCTGTGTGTGGTGTTTTTTGGTTTTGTTTTGTTGTGGTGGTTTGGTTTTTTGTTTGTTTGTTTTTTAAACTGGCAGATCTGTATTCAAGACTCTGCTTCAGGTTAAGAAGAAAGGATTTGATAACAGGTCTTCTAGATGGTGGATAAAACCTTTCTTTTCCTGCTCCTAATCTTGACATTTCCTGTTTCTAGACTAGAAACTTCGGTGCTTGGTTTATTGCCTTTTGTGAATGCCATTCTGAAAGCCCAAACTTTTCCTTGCCTGAAAGGCAAAATACGACAGAGCATGTTGCAAGTGTTTGTAGCACAGGGTACATTATATTCTGCAGATCCATGAGCATTAGACTTCTATGAAATGCTTGCCCTTGGATTCAGTTGCACTGTGCCAATTGGTTCTGTGCTCTGCAGTCCCCTTTTCCTACATCAAGGTGTTTAGCAGTGCTTCTAAAGGGGATGTGTTGTACCACCTTTATTCTTCTTGTGGATTTAACCAAAAATATCTATGTACAGTTAGCCTTTCCCTCCTCTTAAAGGATGTTGGGGCCTGAAGAGAGACACCTTGTAGTCCTGTTTTGTAGCTAATTATGTGCCTACAGGATAGGCTTATTCTGTTGGATGTTAAGTCTTGGACCTGATACACACTGTCCCTTCTGAAACTGTTTCAGTGGATAAATCTTTAAACCTCCGCTGTGTGATCTTAGTGGAATTCAGCTAATTCAAGTCAATGAGCAGTATTTTGATTGGACAAAAAATAGATTATTCTGTCTCTTCCCTTTTATGCTAGCAAGTTATGGCCATAAATGACAAGGTACATAGTGATGCTCCTTGTGCAAGTGCTTTAAGACCAGATTGTGCTTTCTCCTGCTCCTCATACTACTTTAGTAATTCAGAATTTTTTTTAGTATAAAATTTCAGTTTTCTTATTTGTGGTGTTGCTTGGTCTCTAGTGTGGTCAGTTGTAAGAACAGATTTCCGTATTTCAGGGAAGCAGTACCTGTTTGGCTAATAAATAAAAGGGTAAAAGTATGCAGTGGTAGCTGTTTCCTTTGCTTGTGCTTCAGAAGAAATAACTGACACAGACATGGGACTCTAAGCAGAGGTTCAGGGTTGCAAATCCCAGAGAGAGATGCAGCTTAGTTATTGAAAGTAGAGCTGGAAAAATAGGAGTGAGGAAAGGATTTGTGGCTTTATGGTGAGCTTCCTATGGTCTGTGCTGAAGCACAGATGTTTCCTGAATCCTCTTCTTAGGTATTCCAAGTACAACCTGTGGTTTTCACTAGAAAATGTAAGTTCTTTTCCTGGATCTTGCTCCCAGAACATAAACACCATAAAATAACAACCCAAAAGATGGTGCTAATAAATTGCAAAGCTTACTTTTCATGCAGACTATTTTGAGGGACTTTGAGATATGTTATACTGGAAGCCTGTCAAGAAACATTGTTTTAGAATTATGGCTACTTTTATAAGAAACTTACCTTCAAAGAATCCTTGGGAAATTATTGCTGGGTGACAAAATGCTTTGTATTAAACATTTATAGTAACATAACAAAATCAACTGGCCTGTAAAATAGCCAGTTACAAGAAATTACCTGAGTGTTGTGGAAATTTTTCAAGTGAAGGAAGGATTTTAAATTAGAGGATAGAGTTTTGACACTACTTACAGTTTTGATTATAAGTAAAACTGAGGGCTTAAATAATAAGGTGAAGGTACCCAGTTTGTTTTGTAGTTGTATTTCAGATATTCTGAATCAAAAGGTAAGAAACTTAACTGTGCAAGGGTAAACTTAAAAGGAGATACTAACTAACAAACATGTGATAAGAGCAATGGGCACAGAACTCACAGTGGTAACTTCCAAATTGTTATCTTCAGTCTATCTTCTCAAATAATCTCTTTTGTTTCTTCAGTCAGGGTGTAATGTGGACTCCTGCTATGACCTCTCAGTAAAACAAATGCTTTGTTCAACTGGCAAATAATTGAGAAACTTCTTCTGCCAGTAAGAGAAGCATTACTGAAAGGATAGCACCTCCGTCCAGGGTGTAAAAAATGCATTAATGATGAGTGCATCAAGACCGAGTGATATATTAACATATATCATCATATGGAAAGGTAAATTACAGCTTGTCTGTCTCAGGTAGACTTTCAAAAGCATCAGTAAATCTAGTGACAAGGTTCAGAAAGAATGGAGGTCAAAAATGTTGCCCACAGGATTTTTCTTTTTTGGAATGGTCTCTTGTGTCTGCTAATGCAGACTATGCATCTCAAAAAAAAGTAGTAACTTTAAAATCAGAAATAACACAGTATTACTTGATTTGCTACTGCCTTTTGAATTTGGGATCTAGGAGGGTAGTAACAATACTATTGTTTATGATTAATTTTCTGCATTTTACTTTGCTATGGAACTTGGATCCAGTCTAAATGATGTTTTGTCAGCAAAAATAATTTTCTTTATGAATAATGTGCATCTGGGCACTCAGAGCACTGCTGGAAAAATGCAGTCAATTGGATTATGTTACTGGATCAACTGTTCTGATAGCATGTATTATCTGCATGACTCTGCCAATCCACCCTTCAGGGACTGGCCCTGTGTTATTGCTGCCTTGTCACAATTTTTTGTTAGTGTTTTTACACGTATCATCCTGCTGGCTTCTCAGAAGTTAGGCACTTCCAGAGGCATCTGGAGACAAGAAGTACTTTCAGGTATGAACATACTCCCCACACCTCCTTTTCAGCTCAGCACTTAACACATTCCATGCTATGGCCACAAGCAGAGAGTTGCTGTTATGATGACTGCAGCTGGTCAGCTAAGACATGTGATCTGCTTTGTCCACTCTGGCTACCTTCCCTGGTCCCTTCCACAGTCTTAGCTAGCTGGAGTGAGTAGACAGATTCTGTTCAGCAGCAGTTCATTTGTGCTGTGAACCCCAGTTCAGTGTCTGTTCGGCAGTTACATACCTAGGACACAATGCTGGTAAGAAAGTATGCATGTACTCCTATGAAACCAGAAGTGACTGGTGACAGCCAGCATGGTTTCATAAAGGCCAAACTGTGCCTGACATTTGGTGGCCTTCTACGACATTGTAACAGCATTAGTGGAAAAGGGAAGAACAACTGACATCATCTACCTGGACCTGTGCAAAGCTTTTGACACTGTCCTGCACAAAACCCTTGTCTCTAAATTGGAGAGACATGGATGTGATGGATGGACCACTCAGTGGATAAGGAACTGGCTGGCTGGTCACACTCAAAAGAGTTGTGGTCAATGGCTCGATGCCCAAGTGGACAGCAGTGACGAGTGGTGTTCCTCAGGGGTCGGTGTTGGGACTGGCGCTGTTTAACATCTTTGTTGGCAACACGGACAGTGGGATTGAGTGCACACTCCATTTGCTGATGGCATCAAGCTGTGTGGTGCAGTCAACATGCTGGAGGGATGTGCCATCCAAAGGCACCTGGACAGACTTGAGAGATGGGTCTGTGCAAACCTCATGAAATTCAACAAGGCCAAATGCAAGGTCCTGTGTGTGGGCTGGGGCAATCCCAAGCACAAAACACTTGTGTGTGACACTGTAATCAGAGAGTCATAGAATGGTTTGGGTTGGAAGGGACCTTAAAGATCACCTAGTTCCAGCCCCCTGCCATGGGCAGGGACACATTTCACTAGACCAGGCTGCTCAAAGACCCGTCCAACCTGGCCTTTGAACACTGTCAGGGAAGGGGCATCCACAGCTTCTCTGGGTAACCTGTGCCAGTGTCTCATCACCCTCACAGTGAAGAGTCTTCCTTAAATGCAAAAATCTTTCTTTAATGTAGAAAGCTTTCTTGTTCATCAGCAGAGCTTACTGTTTGCTGCTCAGAGAAGCTATCCTGAAAGCACCACAGCTTTTGTACATAATGTTTCAATGGTCTTCCAGACAGATTAAGCATTCTCCCATTACCCATTAGTTCTCTTTCATCTCTGGAGTTTTGAGGTTTGTTTGAAAAGACTCACTCACTTAGGCCAAGGTGCTTTCAGGAACAGTCCACAACTCTTACCAGCAGATCCACGCTACTAGTCAGCTGCTAAATACTGTTTCTTGAAAAAGTAACAGAACTTTGATCAATGGTAAATGCGTGAACTGGGCTCTATGAATCAGCTCCAGGCAAACTGAGAAAGATTTAGAATCAGCCCTTAATTCTATTCTGGGCTCAAAGATAAACAAAGAGTACATACTTGATAAAATTACAGAAAAATTGCTTCACAGGAAAAAGATGAGTGACTTTGAAGGGTCATTTAGTCCATCTCCTCTTTCAGTACACATTGCTATGCTACAATGGCTTGAAATTATTTCAGATATAAGGTGCTTCTGAAGCCCATGTGGCAGGGGTGTTGGAACTAGGTGAATCTTTAAGGTTTCTTCCAACCCAAACCATTCTACAATGCTAACTCATTCTAACATATTTGTTGGTCCCTCCCTTCTTTATATAACTAAACTTTGTTTCTTAGCCTGAATTGTTGAGATTAAGTTCTGTATATTAGCTATTAGATTATTATCCTTACATTAAGTTGGGTTTATTTTTTCCTTTTTGTAATCGAGGTGAACTGGAAATGTTTATCTTTTGCCTGAATATGGAACACACAAATGTTTCAGAATATCCTTTTATTTGTTAGATCTTGGCAGTTAGAGAAAGGATAATTTGCATAAAAGGAACCTTAGCAAGTCAACAATAGAGCCATAATAAAATGAATGTGTGGAATTTATGAATATGAATATGAATTAGCCAGTGCTAATGCATATAAAGAGAGTACTGAAAAACTTCTAGGCTTCCAGCTTCACAGACTCCAGTATGGAACGTGCTTCTTTATACTCTTCAGCTTCTTCCAATTCTTTTTCATTTTCCTGGAATAAAAAATAATTTTGAGTACTTTGAAAATAACTGACATGGGATTAAATTTAAGAATGTAACTATTAAAGGAGAAGGCTGAGGTACTCAACAACTTTTTTGCCTCAGTCTTCGTTGGCAGCCTTGCTTCCCACACCTCCTGAGTAGATGGACCTCAAGCTGGGGACTGGGGGAGCAAAGTTCCTCCCCCTGTAAGAGAAGATCAGGTTTGTGACCACCTGAGGAACTTGAATGTACAGAAGTCTACAGGATCTGACATGATGCATTCCAGAGTCCTGAGGGAGTTGGCAGACGTAATTGCCAAGCCACTTTCCATGATATTTGAAAAGTCACAGCAGTCAGGTGAATTCCCCAGTGATGGGAAAAAGGGAAACATTGCACTCATTTTTAAAAACGGCAGAAAGGAGGACTCTGGGAACTACTGACCTGTCAGCCTCACCTCTGGGCTTGGGAAGACCATGGAACAGATCCTCCTAGAAGCTGTGCTGAGGCACATGGAGGACAGGGAGGTGATTTGAGACAGCCAGCATGGCTTCACCAGGGGCAAGTCCTGCCTGACCAACCTAGTGGCCTTCTGTGATGGAATGACTACATCAGTGGACAAGGAAGAGCTACAGATGTCATCTCTCTGGGCTTCTGTAAGGCCTTTGGCATGGTCCCTGACAACATCCTTCTCTCTAAATTGGAGAGATAGGGATTTGATGTGGGGATTGTTCAGTGGATGAAGAACTGGTTGGATGGTTGCATTGAGAGGGTAGTGGCTAATGGCTCGATGTCTGGATGGAGATCAGTGACAAGTGGTGTTACTCAGGGGTTCGTACTGGGACTAGTACAGTTTAGTATATTAATCAACAACATACAGTGGGATCAAGTGCACCCTCAGCAAGTTTGCAGACAACACCAAGATAAGTGGTGCAGCTGACATGCCTGAGGGACAAGATGCCATCCCGAAGGACCTAGACAAACTCAAGGAGTGGGACCACATGAACCTCATGAGTTTCAGCAAGGCCAAGAGGTCTTGCACCTGGGTTGGGGTAACCCCCAGTATCAACACAGGCTCAGGGATGAAGGGATTGAGTCCTGTGGAGAAGGACTTGGGGGTACTGGTGGATAAAAAGCTGGATATAGGCCTTCAGTGTGCACTTTTCTGTCTAGAAAGACAACTGTATCCTGGGCTGCATCAAAAGAAGTGTGGCCAGCAGGTTGAGGGAGGTGATTCTGCCCTTCACCCACCCTGGTGAGGCCCCACCTACAGTACTGCATCCACCTCTGAAGTCCTCAGCACAGGAAAGACATGGACCTGTTGGAGCAGGTCCAGAGGTGGCCACAAAAATGATCAGAGGGATGGAACACCTCTCCTGTGAGGACAGGCTGAGAGAGTTGGGATTGTTCAGGCTGGAGAAGAGAAGGCTCCAGGGAGACCTGACAGCAGCCTTCCAGTACTTCAAGGGGGCTGATAAGAAAGATGGAGACAGGCATTTTAGTAAAGCCTGTTGCGATAGGACAAGGGGTAATCATTTTAAACTAAAAGAGGGCAGATGCAAACTAGGTAGAAGGAAGAAATTTTTTTCTGGATGTCCCCTCCCTGGCAGTGTTCAAGGCCAGGTTGGATGGGGCTTTGAGCAATCCGGTCTAGTGGAAGGTGCCCCTGCCCATGGTACAGGGGCTGGAACTACATGATCTTTAAAAAGTCCTTTCCAGCCCAAACTATTCTGTGATTCTATGAAACAAAAGATATATTGAAAACACTAGTTCTGCATGAACTCAAAAGCACAGGTAATGTCTTTTGTCCTACTTAAGGTCCAGGATAATGGCTGTCACATGAGAGTACAGTGGATGTGATGTATGCATACTTTTTATTTTATTCTGTTAAATGTTTAAAACCAAGGCCAGCATAACTGGGACCAGTAATAACAAACTTCAGAACTAGAGTACTGTTAGGAAGAAGCTTAAGCAGATTGACAATTGAAAAAACATACTACTACTATAAAATTGATTTTAATAAAAGCCTTGAAGGTGAGCTAAGCACAGAAAACAACTCTTAAAGACTTCCAAATTCTTAACATCAATAGTAATTCCTCCCATTCCTTGTTTTAAGTTTGTACAGTACCTTGTATGGATCAATACTTCTGCATGCCACCAAAATCTAGACCAGCTAACTGTTAAGTAACTAGCTGAATGACAAAAGGACCCTAAATCCTGCCAGGTACTGAGCCTTTATTTGGAAAACAGTAGAGGTATATTACCTGAGGATACTGAGTTTTCCTTTGAGAAGGGATTTGCATTTCCAGCCATCACATGTGTCTGGGACTTAATTTATGGTATGTATTTTTAGCCTCACAGTAGCATTTACATGTGTAGCTGAATTCTTGATGAGAAGGCAGCTTTTAAAATAAGAAGTGTGACGATCTCCAAACTCAGTATAGTTTCAGTGAATCTATTTGTACAAGATACTATTTACTCCTGCAGGTACTCTTATCTTAAAATGTAGCACTAGTGTTCACCTCACTAATAAAACATAAGACAGTACTCAGCAAAGACTCAGCTGTGTTGTTTCGTGTCCACAGAATAATAAAAGTAGTAAGCAAAGTGTTTTTACTATTTCAGTTCACTACAAACACATTATATGCATCTGCACTATCTAGAAAAATACCTAAAGGGGGTGCATGTAACTAGCACAGGAATTCAGAGTCCACTCTAGCAGTTCAGTATTTCAGTGTATGTTAAGTGTACACTCCATTAAAGAGAGCTTCAGATATTCTAACACAGTTTTCAAGAGACTGAAGACCAAGTCTGCAAAGACAGTTATCTAAAATGAAATACTGGTATGTTACAGGATGCTAGCCTTGGGACCTATAAAAAGTAATTCAATCCAGTTCCAATATGCTGCAATTGTACTGCAGACAAGCATTCTTATCCAAGTTCATGAAGGAACAGCAGCATTTCTTGATCAGTGGGTTATGGTGCTATACTTACTAGTAGTTGAGTAAGATCTGCATGTGCAACTTCTAATCTGCGCTGGCAGTCTGGAATCATCATCCGTGACTCTTGCAAGATCTCGATCTGTGAAAATTAGAAGTCAATGAAATGAGAACATATTACAGATAGGAACATTATTTTTTAAGATAAATCTGACAAATCAGTAGTGCAGTCATCATCTAGGAACTTCAGAACACGTGTACCTATTTTCTGAAAGGCTTTTTTATTAAAAGACACTCAGCATAATTGCTTAAAACTCTGCTAATTTACAGGACACTTCATTTACTTTGTGCTTAATTAAATATAAAGTATTAAGTGCAAAAGAGTGTTTAGAATAATTTTCCCCTTAGAAGAAAAGTACTGCCTGGTAAGCTTTCCATACAGCATTTGTTAAAGAGGCTATTTAAACAAACTTTCTCCTGCTGTCGTGAAGCAGCTTCATCCAAAATGGGATCAGCTGGTTATATAAATATCTCCTGCATCTTTTGGGTAATAAAGAAAAACAGTGTTCAGATAATACCACATAGAGATAATTACTGCATGAAAAAAGTTATTGAGTTATTGATCACATTGTGTGCACACTGCAGGAGGCTCTGACTGAAAGACAAAGGTAAAGAAAAATGAAAAGCAGAGACCAGCAGGCTCATATTTTTGATGCTTATCATGCATAAAAAGTTATTACTTATCCTTGTGCTTCATTTTAGGAGAAAGATTATTCTCACCATGCACTTTGAACAAAATTACTAAACTGGCACCCCACTGAATCTGAACATCCTGCCTCCTCCTACAGAAAACAACTTCAGATTCAAACAAGGGAACATTTATTTCATAGAACATTTCTGGATCTGAAATCCAAACACTGACAAAAAAAGCTGTACAGAGTTCTTCATTAATGTTAAATATATTTAGAAATTAAAATCAGATATCTAAATGTGAAACCTCTTCTGCATTCAGGATAACCTGCAACAGAAGGCATTCCCTTTAAATGGCTTATTTAATTCTGTCATTCCTATGTTGTATTCTCCCTTCAGTATTAATACTGCTATACCAAAGGGTCACTGTAAAAGGGAAGATAAGGCCTTCCTGTATGCATAAATACATTCTTACCTATAGCTTATGTAGTAAAACATTATCACCATGTTTTTAAGTGTGATATATTTAAGTTCTTTGTTCAAGTTATTTTTGAGAGAAAGAGCTGAAAAACTTTGGTTTTAATTTTCTATCAGAGAATCTAGGGCAAAACCCATCTACTTTAATGAAGAAAAGGCAGCTGACATGCTTAAAAAAAAAAAAAAAAGCATCCCCAAATTCAACTTCTAATTGGTATCACTTTTAAGTGTTCAGTGTTGGACTGTACTAAAAATAAGACTAGGAACACTGCATATTACATTTCAGCAGTGAATGAATAAATAAAGGTTTGTAACTTCCATAGAATGAGGAGTGCCATAAACTGCGTGAGATGATGCCTTCTGCTTTATGTAGTAGAATCTGTTCTATAAAGAATACCTACAGAAGTGAGAATATCCAATAAGACTTCCTTGAGCCCGTACTGCTAAACAGTTGTGTATTGTAAAGCTGGTAGATGACATGAAAAGTAGTAATTTAGATATATGCAACTCAATGAGTGATCTGGAAAGGCATATAAACCTAGAGACTCTAAGCTGTAGTCCCGACTGCTGTAATAAAAGTACAAAACTACCCCAATCACTCTGTTGAAACCAGAATTTGACTGAGATCCAAACAGGTACCCGAGTTTTACTTACATTTGCCTGCTGTTATACAATAATAAATAAAAAACAGAAGGATAATAAATCCTGGAACTATATTCAGTAGGCACAAAACAGTTGGAGACAGGAATAGGAATTCTGTGGAACCAATATTATCAATTAATTACCAAAACACCTACACAAACCCTGATAACTTCTGCATAGAACACATTTTTTGCAAGTAATGCTGATAATCCCAAACAGACCATTTACTGTTAATATATGTAATAAAGCAAAGTCAAAAGTTCAAATAATTTGATAAGCTTTAGGACTGGAATTTTTTAAACGTTTCTCTCCCAATTCTATCAAAATTCTCTCAAACTTTCTGACTGAATTCTAAGGAGTTTAAATTATAAGCAGGTCACAGAGGAAGCTATTACATGAAACTGATCTAACTTTGCAAAGAACCATAAATATCTGCAATGTTCCTGTGAATTACAATGCCAACAAAAATATTAAAAAAACTGGAGTAAGTGAAGTGCATCTAAATACTGTGCTAAGACAAAAGCAATAAAGCACAAAAATATGTACAGGGAGAAACAAATTGAATTTGTTGTCAATAAATGCACATAGGACCTATAGGAGCCATTGTGGCTACAGTGAGGATGACATCCTTATTCCATTGAGTGGACCTAAAAAGCCAGTTAAACAAATCTCTTCAACTGGCCACACTTCTAGTCAGTTGTCTTTCATGACTGAAGGTACTTCTATTAAGACAGCAGATGTCTGGCATCTTCCAAAAGAAAGCAGTTTCCTCAGATGTGATGGAGCTCTCTTAACTACTGGGGTGTATACAGCCTATTTACTAAACACAATGTGGGTCAAATGCCAAAACACTGGTATGCATAATGCACTATCAGTAGCATTCAATCAGTTTTCCATAAATGCCCAATTGCAGTGACAGGTAAAGCAGAACAGTTGCAACCACACAGAGCCACATACCAGTTGCTTAAGTGGAAGTGCACCGTAACTAAAATGGAACCATTACTTTACACATTCAAAATAAGCACAAAAGCTAAAACATGACTCTGTGAGAAACAGCTGAGGAGGTAATGCCCAAGGCATTAAACATAAGCAACTTTGATTTTTAGCAGGTCCCGCATTGAAAGTTCAAAGCTACTGTTTAAACTTTAGGTAGATCAAAGCTGCTCACAAGGCAGATTCTCTACTTTTTGGACCACCCAAGCATTTAGACTGAAATAAATTTTTGATAATTGAAGAATACAAATAAATATTACTGCATAGGAGTGTCAATACCAAGTATTCTGCAACAGGAAGCAATTTTGCTGAGACTGACATGTATTATATAATAGGGACAATAGTTTTATCAGCTTCAGAAAGATGGAAGCAGGGGTGGGGTTTTTTTTCCAGCTAACCTACGTCTAACCAAGAGATTTAGATTGGCAGATCTACAAATAGTTTGAAAACTCAACAAGAAAACCTCCATAGGTCTCTTTAACATTCCTTGATTTTAGAAGCCTAATAAACTGCTGTATCACAGGGTATAGTGACAATTTCATATGACAAGTTCTAAACTTCATGGGACATGTTCTAAGCACAAGAGATAGGCTAAAAACATGATAAATGTGAATGAGTCATATATATACACCAGTTATGTACACAGACATGAATATATATTCATGCTTTTGAATACTGCCTCCCAATCAACTTGCCCTTTGACTGTTGCACAGACAATCATAACAATATGGATCTACTCAAACACGGTAGGGAGGAAAAGAAAAATACATGTAAGTAATTCAGTTTGCTAAGAAAAGCAGTAGTGGTTTGAACTAATTTAAATCAAAGTTTTACAAACTTTCTGATGAAAAGTTCAAACATAAAATCCATTGACCAATTACCACCACATTTGATGGAAGGACAGAGACCCAAAAGAAAAAAGGTCATCTCTAAGTATCATGAACACCAACGATTCCAAAATTAACAATCCTCCTACAGAAGAGATTGTCGCATAAAGTAAACAGTCATGCTAGGGCTACTGTTTGGCTAATCAACATATTTGTAACCTAAATCTGTAACACGGTATTATTTATTACCTCACTAGTAACCAGCGAATATAAAGGCACAATGTGCTGGGCCAGGTTGGTGGTGTTGGGACACAGGGAGTAGGACAGCATACGTGATGTAGGAGAAAACTGGGCACAGGGAAGGCAGGAACTCAGAGGAGATACGGCATTAAGGTGAATACAGAGGGAAGAAACCCCAAACACAAAAATAGTAGAAAACCAAATTTTATTAGTTCTACTTCCTTTGAAGCAACTTGTTTTATTTTCACATAGCAGACCCAAGAGAAGCTTGAGCTATCTACAAATACAGAATACAAGAGCACACTGCAGTCTGTTGTAGGTCAGTTGTCAAATACATTGATCAAAACACTTCCAAAGGACCATGAAGAAAAGCTTGCAGTACAGAACTGGAGAATGCTGTTTTGTTTCTATAGTGCTTGAGTGTTTCAAGAACTGAAATGGCCATGTGTCAACCACAAACCATCTACCATTTCCTCCTGAGGAGGGAAAAACTGTCTACATCTAATGCCTCAGTATTTCAAATGAGCTTTCTTTGCAGCTCCTCTCAGGTGAGGGCTAATCCTGTTTGTTCTAAAGCAGATCACTTTAGGACATAAAAGACTTCTAGAAAGGTTCCTTTGTTCTTTTGGAAAATAGTTTGTCACTGGCTGTTTTCCACTAATGTACAACTGTCAGGTTTTCTTTGTTGTCAACAGTGGGGAGTGGAAGGAGAACCCCACAGACCTGAAGTTAAAAAACTGAGGTACTTTTCAGAGGACAGAAGTGAAACTCCATGTCCTCCACTGAAAAAAATTTTAATCACACTGTATTATAAATGACAGATATTGCTCCTTTAAAATTAACTTAGAGGATGATAATGGAATTATCCATTACAGAAAGCTGTCATTTCATCAGCAGGCAGCTCCCTTCCTTCCAGCAACTGAAAATTCTATCTGAACAGATCCATACTGATGCAAGTATAAACTTCACCTTGTTAACAGGTGAGAGGTGGTAAACATCTGAATGAAAAGGTTTCTTTGGAAGAGGCATAAAGCAAACAGGACAAAAGACAGACTAGCTTTCCCAGCAGAAATGGCTCAACCTCTAGAACAAAGAGCCAAGTTTTCTCTCTGCTCTTTCCCCCCATCTTTTTTCCAGGGCAAGTTAAGCTTGGGGAAGAGGCTGAGAGGGTTGGGATTTTTTTGGTTGCTTGTTAAGATATAATCCTGAATCTGTGCTTAATGTAATGGATGCTTTGCTAAAAGGTAGCAGGGTGGTTAGGAGGTGTTTTAGAATAAGCTTGAAGGGAAGGAATCCCCCATCTGTGTTGTGGAGGTGAAATACGAAATACCTGGGGAAGTATTTGTGCTAAAATTGGAACCAGAACAGACATGGAAAGTTCCCTAGATAGACAGGAGAAAAGTCAAGTCTAGATCTTTTCCTCCCTCTAGAGCACAGGAAAAGTGAGCCTAGCTGAAAAAACTAGTCATGTCCCATCATGGTGGCAAGTCTCTTCTACCATAGCAGTGTTGCCAAACTAACTCATTCCAAATACTGCATGAGTGCCTTTAATCTTCATCATAAAGTCTGGAATCCAAAAGGAACTTACACCTGCCTAGATAAAAAGGAAAACACCCTTTGGAATACAAAAGGGAAGAAGGAAGATCACAGTAATGATTTTTTGCCATTTGGTCTTTCAGAAAGCACGTAAGGCAATAAAAACAAAGTCTGAAAGCATTTTTAATACCAGTTGTGTGTTAGGAACATTGTTCTGTACTTAGCAGAGAGAATTCCAAGTTGCTAGCTTTTACAGAAACAAACTTGGCTTGTTAAGAATACTGTCCAAATAAATAAAGGGGAGCACTGGACTCTTTAATTAGCATTTCCACTGCCTCCTCACCTAAGCAACCAGAACTAGAGTTCAGATTAAGTAAAGATCATCCATTCTTAGGAAAAAAAAAAAGAATGAAACTAATCAGATTAAAGTGAAATTGTATGTTTCATCTGATTTTACTGTACTCAATTGGTGAGAAGAATGAAACTTTGAACCAATCAGATGGTGAGTAGAAAAAGTCAAAAATGTAAAAAGCCAGATGAGCTAACTGGAGGATTTCTTTGAGGCTAAATAGACATTTAAAAATGAAAGAGTTACAGAACTTTACACATCTTCCAAAATAATTATCCAAAACAATATACATTGTTTCCAAATACATTTCTTCTTAGCTGTTTCAGACATTCTACCATTGATTCAACAAAGCAAGAGAAATACCACTGTTTTCACTAATACTTGTAACAAACTGTGTTTTAGAAAGATGTACTTTTTGTATTCTTCTCAGTAAAAATGCTGACAGTTAACAAAACCACCAGAGTATATCTACAATCCCACTGAAAGGAAATAAGAAGTAGGTATCTCAGGCTTTTCCCATACTCACAAGCCTCAAGATAAAAGTATGAGCTGGGAAAGGATGTTTATTTATGTATGAGATACATCAACAACCACAGAAATGGAGAAACATACTGGTTCCTATCATTAGTCTGCACTCATGAGTCAGCATATACCAGCACTGCAAGAAACTGTCCTTGTTTTCTCTGATACTGTATCTGCTCCTCATTAAGTAAGTCTTTCTGGACAGCACAGGTGGAGGCTAGGATCTAACAACTACCCCAGTTGGTCATTGCCTCAGATTGCCCAGAGATCACTCGAGTTCACAGGAACCACAAACTGCCCCACTGCCTAAGGAATTAGGTGAAAATACTGAGTCAAACCTTAACTGTTTTACAAAGGAACTGATCCCTCCTTACAGACCAGACACACCCGAAAGTCTACATATGCTGTAGGAATGGTACTACTAATGTTAAAGTAAAGTTTTCTGTAGTCACTTCTGTACTATTAAACCATATGTTCTACTGCAAAGTTGTAACTAGAAAGCTAAATGAAAATAGTAGTACATTAAGAGGTAGTTAATCCTTTTAACATTTTTAGGCATCCCTCCCTCAATTCTGTATCAATTTGTATATACATACCTGATTTAGCTGATATCTCAGCTAAAATAATCTTTAAAATTATTCTCCTAGTTTCAAATGAAATGAGTCTCATTCCCATCCCCCAAATGTTACTTTTTATTACTGAAATAAAGACTACAACCATGTTTTTAAATAAATATAGTTATTCAGATTAGGAATTATTAACTAAAAGCAAGTCTTAGAATGTGTAACTACATATAATTTTCCTGAAGAACATCTCAACGTATTAACCCTACCCAAAATATAGTTCTGAGCAAACTCTCCTGGTATTATACAGTTTTCTTTAGAGTAACAGATTTGATCCTATGAAAAGGGTGTACATTCTTTCTGAGCCTCCAAATTCTTCATAACCTAAAATATTAACAGCTTACAGAATGCAAAATGCACTAAAAGAACAAGAAGTGAAGAAGTCATTGGAAGAACTGATGGCTTTCAAAGTAGATCAGGCAGATTCTGAGTCAATCAAGACTGTTCTCTGTGAAGGCTTTTGTCACTGGTCTCCAAGAATGCTTTCAAGTAGTGTGTAACATTTCACTTCACAGAAGAAGTTCATAGCCTCCGCTGTTTTTGACTTTGATGATATCTTGCAGGTCACTGCGGAAATACCACAGTGCAGTCAAATAATCTGATGAATGAGGGACACTAAAAATGGGAATTGAATTCATTAGTTCTTGTTAGCCCCAGAGGATCTTCAGAAAGACCACTATTTTGAAGGATCATAGAGTCTCAGTGGTGAGGCAGAAGACAGCTCAGCTCTATAAATACAGTTTCTTACTTGTATGACAAATTCTTGATTTGTCTTTCTTTCCCATGGCATAATGAAAGCAAGGTAGGACATACTCACATTAACTGAAATCTGAACTTAATAAAAAGTTGTTTTAGCTTGCTCTAAAAGGGCTTTCTCCTATCTTGTTTTTGTTAGTTTTTATATTTGAGATTTAACTGATTCTTCCACTGTTTAAAAATGAAGATGGGAAAACAGTAGGTTAGGTTTTATAACACAACACCACCAGACTACTAAAACAAGTGAAAATAATTTTAATTTACAGTTTCGGTTTCTGTTGAGATTTAAGAGAAAACATCTGGAAAATGCTTGGGAAAAAAACATAGTTAAAAAGGTAACATACTTAGTTGAAAGAATATAAAGGCCACAGTTAAGCACATACATGCCACAATTCTGTAAAGAATAAATGCCTGTCTCCCAAAACAAAGCCTTCTCCCAGTAAGAAAGTTGATACTCCTCCTCCTTGCAAAAGGACATGTACTGTCTGCAATCACTGCCCTTTGTGGGAAACCTTCCAAGAAAAATTTAATCATATTGTAATAGTGACACTAAACCATACTCTTGAGCAGATGAAACTACAGCATGCATCTTGCTAGTCAGTGACTTCACTACAAATTCTAGCAGCTGCTAGGAGCAGCTGTGTACCCACTGCTCTCTGAGGTCTGTGATTTTACCAAGGGGATACTAGTATACTCAAGAGTTGAAATGTTTCATCTCCATATTAAGTATCAAACATTCTCACTTCACTGTAACATTTGCACTTAGCAGCAAGCACTTAAGTTTACCTAAATGCATCTAGATCATGTATTTTCAGGTTCTTGGTATTTCTGAGAAAGAGAGTTCATGATGGCCTCATACAGAGTGTGAGTAGTGAGTGATAACCATCCTGACACCAAGTGCCAAGTAATCCATATGCAGTCTCCTTATAATTTAAAAGTTCTGGAGTAAAGGAAATTTCTACAAATACTTATTAGGAATTTTATAATTGACGAGATTTTTTAGTCTAGTATTTGTATAACAGGAGTCCAAGAAGAAGTACAGGAAATTAATTTATTTAAGGATGAGTATGATTAAATGAAAGCAAAGAAAGATTTTATAAAACAAGTTTTAGGATAGTTTACCTGCTTCTTAATTCCATAATCATCACGTGCTTCAGCTTTCATTTTTTCAATCTTTTCTTCTTGCTGTTTTGCTTCTTTTTCATACGTAACTTTTTCTTTTGCCAGTCTGCAATTAAACCAAGTGATTGTGTTAATCTGATTCTATTACAGTAAAAAGTTACCCCACTGATAACAGCACTCCCACCCTGAAAGTTTCAGCCCTGTAAGATAACACACAGTTTTATAAAAAAAGGCTCTTGACCACTGCAAAAAACTGCATCTAGGAAATGCTGAATTTAGTTATGATGTATAATGATTCTTATGAAAGTAATTTAAATTAAAAAATAATTTTAAAGATTCTGTGTGGGCTTATTCATATATAATATCCTTAAAAAGTTATATATATTAGTACTTCATTTCAAATACATAACAGAAACAGATAAGCTGCCTTATAGATCTGGATTATGGCTAATAAAGATAGATAGCTTTCCGCTCTATACTACTATCTCAAAAAAGACCTCACATCATTGGTAGCCAAAGCCAAACAATATTAAGATGTCCGCAAAGACAACATTGTTATCACTGGCTTTTAGATCAGCATTTGCCAGACTTTCTCAACATCACCCAGGTTCTGACACTTTTGCAAGTGACCTATACTGGCTGTTACAGTCATTTAGTCTTTCCTCTTTCCTATTCACTACAAAGTAACATGACTGCACCTGCATTAGTAGATGAATAATGATAGACATCCTTCTTACTAGCAACTTTTTTTCAAAGTTACCACATGTAAATGAAAAGAAACAGCACTGTGTTCGCAAACTCTGATGCCAGACCATTTTTTTCCCTGTTCACTACATTTCATGCCGTCAAATGTATTATTTTCTATACTAGTTTCTGTACAAAATAATGAAAAGTAGAATTCCCAAATTATACAGTAGCATCATACTTCTGTATTCCTTTGAGTATCTTCTCTGCTTACACTGATGCTGGTTTGGGGGTTATAGACAAAAAAGTAACATTATAGCAATTTTCTTTATGGCCTATCTTTCAAAGGGAAAAGAATCCATCTTTTACACCCAATAATGGACCCATACTTAGGAGCAGGATGCTTTTTGCTATCAAGCATAGATTCAAAAGTAACATAAAGCATTTTGACAACCAGAAGGTAATATTAAGGTAGTCTAGTCTGATGCTCTACAGTAATTTTTACACTGCAAAATCCCATTATCAAAGTTTATTATTTATTAATACCGCAACTTTGTTGTTGCATCTCCCGCTTTGTTCATTAGGTATATGTTCATCAGGTATATGTTGGATTACATAATGCTAGAGCTGAACCAAAACATCCTTCAGGATCTGGAGAATAACAAAGTAATTTCTGATCAGCTAATTCAGGATCAAAATAAGCACCAAGATGCTACTGCAAACCTGAGAGTACGCTGAAGAAAATCCTTTCCCAAACAACAAGCATGAGATCAGCCTATACAAGATTGTTTAAGGAGAGCTTAACAGCCTAAAGAACATAATCAGATCCAAGAAGCAAAGAACGTATTAGACAAATGAAAATAGAATAAAGGTCTAATAGAGAGCTTCATGATCATATTAGCGCATCAGAGCAAATTAATTCCTAACTTGTCACAGTTAAGTGCCCTACTAGAAGTGCTGCTGAGGACTGACCAAATGGCACTAGGGTGATAAGAATCTTTTGTGAACTGAAGCCACCAAAAGAGCACCACTGCAGTAATAGCTTGAGAAAAAAATCCAAAGAGAGTATACTGATATTGCCACAGGGAACTCTCCTTGCTTTTGTTTGAGTTCACATCATCAAAAATTGTTTTGCTAAAATAGCCTTAAACTGTGTCTCCACAACAGTTGATATAAGTTGGGCTGTGGCAATATACACCTGAACTCTCTTCAACCCTTGTGGAGACACACCATCAGAGAAGGCCTTCAACATTATAAAGAAGCTTTAAGAGCATGTAGAGTGTGTACTGTAAGTACTGCCTAGGCCAGTTTCTACAAGTGAGCCAAGTACTAGCTTTGAGAAGTAGTACTGGGGAAAGACAGCAACCTAATTACTAATAATAAAGACGCTAAATCAGTGGCTGTAATTTCAACTACTGAAACCAGCTCCCATATTAGCATCAACAAATATTGATTTAACAGAGGATGAGTTAATTGTTTATCAAGGTTACTTGATTTAATTCCAGACAATATCTGCTTTGCTATTTTTAGGTTCCAAAAAAGTTAATTTTAATCAACCTGTGAGACATGATTTTTTTGGAATGAGAATATCAAATTCCCTTGAGTAACAAGGGGGGAGAGAGATGACTAAACAGAATTTTTATATTGATACACTCACTGCAACTTCCATTGCTAAACCCATTATTTTTAATTATTTTATTTTTTAGCTAAAACAAAAGGCACAATATTATGTACTTACGATTTCATATGATGTTTTCACATTCACATCTCCCTCTATGCACACTAACTCTTCAAACTGCTATCCAAGTTTGCTTACTTTTATCAAACGTGAAAGGACTGCGTGTTCTGTTCTAGTTTAGAACTAAATTTAACTTGAGTTTTTGCCCACCTTCCTCATAACTGGGTACTTAAGAATTGCATCCATATTTATCTACTAATTTCTACTTCTGTCGTAATTGTACATTTACAGAATTTGAAACATTCTGCTTTCAAAAAAGGAAACACGTGAAATGTGAAATATGAGACCATTTTCTGTGACAAATTTTCCACTGCACTTTGTTCAGTAATCAGGATTGTCCAATTTAATGTTCCATTTATCATTCATAAGATTGGGATGCTGATGTTTAATGCTATTAAGAAGTTTTGATTTGAAAACATCTCTTATATTGGATCCTTCCTCCAGATGTCATAAAGACATTTCTACTGAATATGTTGCCTGGGGATATGCTAAATTAAATCAATAGCTTGCTTTCAGAAAAAAAATGAAATTTCATAGTGGAGCAACACTATCCCTTAATTACCTCTTAAAAATTTCAGCAGAATTCTACACAAAAATATGCACATGATACTTTGCTCCT